GCGTACAGATGTGCTAAATAAGTCTTCTGAAAACTAGGAAACAAAGTGTTCGTGTTTATATTTCAGTCAGCTTTGGTTTTTATTTTTTTGCCACTGAACCATTCACAACTCTGCATGTTGGACCTTAAGTTTCCATGCTCAATAAATCAACACCATTTAATGCCATACGAGCACCAGGGCTGGCAAATTCTTACAAAGCCTGGAGCCCAAACAACAACACTCAGACAGTCATGTGGAGTTATTTTTATCAGTTCACAGCTTGATCTCACCATGAACTCAGCAATCGATATACAGAAAGGGACAATAATAAAGATAACCGCAGACGTAAATTACAGACATTAACAATTGAAAATATAAGACGCAGACCTGATGTAAAAAAAAAACTCATATTCTGGAGGCCAACATATAAACAGTTATTTACTATACATGTGCTTCAGTCATTGGCAAGCAAACAGTTCACATTATGACTGACATTAGGTTAATACTTTTGACTGCATATCTTTACGTGCATGACTAGATTCATACAACATGGGCATCTCGACTGCAACGCCAAGGCGTTAGTCTCAATAGATAGCACATAGCCATAGAATAAAATCAGTTGAAATAGAAACACTCAGTATGTTAAGATGACTGGGAAGATGATAGTGGTTAATGAGAACTTCACAGAGAATATGATATTGTTCTGTAATGTTGTTAGATAGACGCTACAAGCTTTTTTTTTTTTTTTTTTTTTTTTCCAGCTTTGCATCATCTTCTTCCCCCCAAAGCTTATCTCTGTTTCTCGTACTCTAATGGTGGTGCTCCGTTAGCTTCCAGTTGCCTCCTGCGGACCGGTACATTTCTTACCATCTTCTCCTTTCTAATTCCTAGGCCTTGAAACAGGCAACGGTGCACCTCATCTTCTCCAAATGTGCCAAATGTTGAACCCGCCCAACCCTGACTGAAGCAGTACGATCGTCCAGTCAGAAGTTGAGCAGTGGAAATTACACCCGAGGTATGGTACACTGTAGTAACATGTGACAACACACAGGACCCCTCTTTGCTGTTTTTCAACAAAAAAAAACAAAAAAAACATTTTGACATGGCACGACGGAACAGTACTGAATAAAATAAAACATGTAGCAGACACAACAAACAAACAGCAGTCTTCACTTCCCGATTCTTCTTCTTGTCAAACAGTCGGACCCCGCGTTACTATTACCGCCAATGCAATCTCGGAACCCTGACAGTTCAGTCGAGATTTGGGTCGCATGTCGCTGGTCTAGCTGGTGGGCTAATGTAGTACTGCAAACCGTTAGCCTCAAGCGAGGAGGAGCATTCGGGCCACACGCCAGAGCTCGTTAAGCTCCGTCTTCTCTAACTCTCTTCTCTTTCTCTTATAGGACAAGGCATTGCCATCAGATTCCATCTGAGAGTCAAAAAGGCTTGTATAACAACCTTGTTTTCACAAGGTGCAGCAGGGCTCCTCAAGACCTATGAACAGGACAATGATGTGTAAAAACTGGTGGAGCCCTGCTTTAAAAACCTCTCATGTGCATATTCTGCACTCCACCAGCACTGTCATCTATCCATAACCAAACACCAGCCTGGAGACTGCACACCAAGGTCCAAATCAAATACGACAAGGCCAATCAATGAAATTTAGGCCTCAGTGGTCTCGATATTCTACTTTGAGCAACGCAAACACATACACTACATTCTTATTGACAGTCCAAGCCCCAAGTCAGACATATAGCAGTTGAGCCTCTTTATACTGCAGCATGCAGCCGTTTTACCGCGTATGAGGATAGAGACAGCCTCACGAGCAATGTATACTACCACCTGCTGCTTAAAAGTGAGCGAGGCGGAAGATCTGGGAGAAAATAACGTCGACAAATCTCTCCCTCATTGCATCTTCCCCTCACTTAAGACTGAGGAAGAACAATTCGTTGCTTCCTTTACACGGATAGGCAACCTCCGCCAGGTTGTGCACAGATTAATATCAATTGCAATCCTGTACTCAGCAAAATGGGGGGGCTCTTTTAACAGCCTAAAAGGCGCCAACCAACCGCTGCGTTAAAGATTAATACTTGGCACAGGTTTTTGTCAGTTGCTTTCTGAAGCAAACTCATTTAGTGCGGGTCGATAATACAGAACAAAATGCGTATAAAAGAAGAAGAAGACAGAAGAAGAAGAAATAGTGAGCACTGCATTCAATTCTCTTGTGTTGCTCAGGTTCAACATGACTCACCCTTGAAATGTGGGATGAAATGCCAAAAAAAAAGCAGTTATGGCCTTGCCTGAAGAATTATTCACTGATTCCCTGCTGAGTCACCACACAAAACAGAGAACAGAGTGACTACATTAATCATAGTGTTTCCATTTGATCCGGTATTCTGAGACTGGCCTCATTGACTGTGTGTAATCAAATATTAACAAAGAAAGAAATGTTAATTTACCACAGTTTCATTCATAACGCCTTACATAATCTAAAACAAGTATCTGTCCAGCTTTCCGAAAGACAACGAGCTGAGGTGCTGTCATGACAACTTTGGGTATATTTATTAGATTTATATTAAAATATACAGGTCTCTGAATGTTGTTTTCGTGTGATTTATCCATGTAAATTGGGAAAATATATGCAGCCTCATCATTTCTTTGGGAAACACCTATATGATTTTGGAGAAGGGAAAAAGCAGCACTTGTTTTGTTAGTTAGTTTGCTTGTTGTGCTATATCAGAAGCAAGGTCACGCTTGACAGTTTCACAAGTCAAATATGTCACACGTCATCTCCGAGCTAGGAGATGACACTCATCGGTATTCTGACAATATAATACTGATTCTTTTAAGTCCTTGTTAAATGTCACTCTAAACTAAGAAAGACAAACAGTTTATTTTGCCTGAAAGCTTACGTGTAGCTCACATCAGATCATTAGATCACATAGAACACATACTGATACACAGTGTGTATTTCCAAGGGGGTTAAAACTGTTTTCATGAAACTGTCAGATAAAGGTTGTAGTGAGCCGGGAATTTGAGCAGAACTGACCAAAGCCTTGTAACCATTAATGAGTCCTTTTAGAAAGAGAAGTTCACCTTCGGCCGTCTGTCACAATTTTTTGCGCACATCTGTGCTGGTGTCTGATATAATCTCAAATAAAACTGAATTATGTTTGAACAAGGATTAATGTACGCATGTATGTTCCAGGAGAATCTGACTCACAGCAACATAAGCTTTTGGCAGTTTTCACATCCAACATTTAACATATTTCACCAAGAAATACAACTATAGATGTGTGTCATCACACACAACAACTACAGCAAGTGCGAATTTAAACATCAACTATCTGAATGTGGCTAACCCGCTGCCTCACCACACCTAGGTGAGAGGATACAATGGAAACAAGACACTGCTGTAGATCCTGGACAGCAGTTACATAAACCTGATTCAGAAAACACAGCGAGTGGTTCTAGGAGCCGTTTGAATGCTACACAGTTCCCCTGTTTGTTCCGTTTGTTTATTTGTGAAATTACCAAAGTAATTGACATTCAACCAGCTTTGAAAAGCAACAAATGTCTTTCATACACTCGGCAAAAACTTAGCAGTGTAAATACCAGCTATTAATACTGACACAGTACGCCTCACTGAGACGCCTCTAGCCCTCTTTCTGCATGGAACAGCAGAGATCAACTTCTTCTTAATATCTAACCAGATCTAGGTCACAGGCTACACAATGTTGAGTGGTAGATTATAAAAACACTTCATACATCTTCAAAA